CCCCAAAACCCCAAAACCCCAAAACCCCTTGGGTGACTGGAAGGGTGGAAATATGGAATAAAGAGAGAGAAATAGGGTGGTTTTTTCTATATGGGGCTTGGAAAAGGGACTAGGGTGAGTTTAGGAAGTGGATGTTATGTAATCTTGGATATTAAAATGCAAGAAATATTCGTTTATAAGTTTTATAAGTTGTATTTGAAAAGCACAGCTTCCCTCATTGTGAAGTTCAAAGAAATAAGTATAGTAAGCCTTGGAAAATAATGATTTCTCAGCTAATTGTTAAAATTTACTATTATTGATATTAAAAATTCTTTAAAAATCTAGTTAGCTGGTTTGCTTAAATAAAAATCAAGTCTTCTTGTTATAAGCAGATTGACATAATTTTGAATAATTTGGAAGCTCTTTCTTTATTCAGGGTTAGAAATATATGCAATACTCCGTTAATTCAGCTTCATTTAAAAAAATTAAACAGAGTCAATGCCCTATCTAATGGGTTTCTCATCTTTCGTATTTTCACAGAAGGTATAATCTTTAATCAAAGTTTTAAAAAATTCGAATTTTTCATGAATTCAAAAGTTCTTCTCCTTCTACTCAAGAATTTGTCTAATGGACATAAAGTACCCATAAATGTAGTGATACACTATCCAGAACGGGCCATTAATTATTACTTTCTATTTAAACAGCACAGCCAAAAGCAAGGTCTTGGAGAGTCCACTCTTTCCATTTTCATCTTTATGAAAAGTTCAGAATTTCACATTCTTCTAAAACTATTATTTATATATTTTACAACCTGAGATTTTTGCAACCATTAAATCATTCTCTTACCCATAAACTTCTATATGGGGATATGATAAACGAGCAGCTAGAAGGAATTTTGGATATGTAGATGAATAATTTCAAGAAATAAAGCTAGCAAGATCATTGCTTAAATCTGCTATCTCACTATTTAATAGTCCAGATTTATTATCATAGCATGTTCAAGGAATCAATTTGTTCAAGTTTATCCAAAAAAGGGACCATCATCCTCTACACTTTGTGGATGATGTCTTAATGCTGATAATATGTCACGTTTTAAATAGAGCGGAAATTTTGTTGTTTAGAGTCTATCTTCGCCTTAGTTTCAACTAGTTTCGAATTTTTCAAAATTTCATAAATTTAGAAACCACATTTATTAAAGACTAGATTTTAATAATATCTACCAGAGTTTTGAGGTTTAAAAGGAAGTAATAATATAGAAGGCTATCAGTCGTTATAAGTGAACTCAATATTGGCTTTTTATTCTCAGAAGCTTGGAAATCCAGGAATCCCAAAATTTTTCTCTAATATTAACTTGATGAACTCTTCAATTGCATTAGATATAATTATATGCACATACCAGATTTTATAAATATTCTTCGAGATTTAGTTATCTTTGTAATTGGTTGTTTCTCAGAGAGTTCTTACCACTAATTTCTTAAAATTATATTAAATTAATATAAAATTGAGAGATTCATGAGGCAAAAGCTTAAACTTTAATACAACCTAAAAAGTGAAGCCCCACATGATTTCTAATTCAGCTTTAATAGAGAATAAATTGTCTATTTTTATTAAAAATCAATCATTATTTAATAAGATAAGAAAATTCCAGTAGATTTTAGTAAAGTTCAGCAAAAATTTCTAAACTCTTTGGGCATTTTAATAAGTTTTAAATATATTATTAAAGATTTCATCAAATTCTTCATCCTATAAAATTGGAGCTTCTGTAGGAGTCAGAACCTTATTTTTCTATAGTCTATGCTTAATATTTAACTTATGAAGAATTTTCGAACCCCGAAGAGTTTATATTTTTATGAATAATATTAGGTTTTCTGGGGAAAAGGGTCTAGTTAAATTATACAATTTAAACTTAAAATTTATCAGCTTAATAATTAGAACCGTACTGAAAAAATTGCTCAGAACTAACCCTGACCACCTTGCATATTATTAATATGTGTAAATGCCAGTTTAGAAAGAATTTCGTGTAATTGATTATTGTGCAATAATTATTTAAGGATTTTAACAAGTTATTCTCTGCTTTGGATGTCGTTTACAGTCACTAAAGCTTCTTCACAGAGAGGAATGGTACTGGACTTCTTCGAAGCCTTGAGAGAATAAGGGGTCGACATAGGAGAACTCTTGAGCTTGATCATTTTGTGGAGCAAGTCCTTTATCTCAGTTTGGAGTTTCGATTGACGAGGACAGCTTTGAGAAGCAAAAGAGTTTAAAAATGTTTTTGTTTTGCCTTTGCAGAGAAGTTTTTTATTTCAGAATTTTTCATCAGCAAAGTCTTTAAACTCTGGCATATGTCTTATAGAGAGATGAGAGTTCTCAAGCAACTGTTTGCCCTTTACTTTCCTGTTAAAAGGATTATCTCCCATATTACTTATAAGTCCCTTCGAAACATTCACACAAGAAGCAGAAACATCTTCGCTCAACACCTCCTCTGACAGATCTCCATTCAACCAATCCGTATCATTCATTTCTATTAATTAATTACTATCTTCAATGCCTTTTTTCTATATAGGGGTTTTGGGGTTTTGGGGTTTTGGGG